TCATATGACTGTCTGAGTCTCATAGGGTCATGCTGAGTTGAGTTATATTGAGTTGTGTCATCGTGTGTCCTGTAGTAACATCAGATGAAGTTGGATTGTATGAATGAGTTCCATAGGGCCATGTTGGGTAGTTTTGCATTTAGAGATAGCACCAGGACCCAAAGGAAGAAGCACTAGGGAGGAATTATGGATCAGGGAGCAAGTGTGTTATGGTATAGACTCTGGGAGATGTACCAAGCTGGCTTCCCTGGTACTCACTGTAGGAGGGCAGCTGGATTCTGTATCCACAGGGGATGAATTAGACTGGTGTGAATTAGAAAAAGATAGACTCTCCTTCTGTATGCCGCACATCCACTTTGTTGTGGCATCTAATCCTCCTACCCCATCTTCCCCTACAGTTTTACTCCCAGACATGGAGGTCAGAGTCATAAAGGAAAGAGAAGGGGGAAGGGTGAGAAAACTGCGCTCTTGTCCACACATGATGGAGGGACGGAAACCAAAGGGTGGGAGACAAAGACCAGGAGAAGGATGGAGACCCAGAGAGAGGAGATAAAGACTCTAAGAAAGAGGAACAGAGACTTAGGGGAAAGGAAAGACCTGGGTAGAGGAGAGACCTTGAGAGAGGAGGGATGGAAATCCAGAGTGACAGGAGGAAAAAACCAAGAATCAAGGGTAGAAACCCAAAGAGCAGTATTAGGCAGCCAGAGAGAATACCCTGGGTTTGAGATAGAACACAGAGTCTCAGAGAAAGGGAACCAAAAAAGAAAAAAGCAGATAAAGTCAGTGCCAGCTGGGCAGAGTGGCTCATGTCTATAATCCCAGTACTCTGAGAGGCTGAGGTGAGAGGATCGCTTGAGGCCAGGAGTTCAAGACCAGCCTGGGCAACATAGCAAGACCCCATTTCTATGCAAAATAAGAAAAATTAGCCAGGTGTGGTGGTACATGTCTGTAATCCCAGCTACTCAGGAGGCTGAAGCAGGAGGATCACTGTGCCTAGGAATTTGAGGTTACAATGAGCTATGATCAGGCCACTGTACTCCTTGTAGGTGACAAAGTGAGATCCTGTCTCTAAAAGAAAAAAAATAAATAAAAAGAAATAGTCAGTGACCTGAACCTGCAAAAGACACAGTCTCTATTCCACAGAATCATAAAGAGTTCCTAAATCAGGCTGATCACCCCTCCTTCCTCACAGCTCAGGAAGGCTGTCAGACAGGCTGAAGGCCTCACTCTTTTTTCCAGGGGAGAAACCTGACTCTCAGAGCAGGGGAGTGGCCTCTCAAGGTCACACAGCACATCCCTAGGGGCCAGTACTGTGTCCCCACATGTCCCCTTCAGCTTCCTGGTGCACAAGGGACCTTCCAAGTCCAGAAGCCTCATTGCCTACAGACGAGGAGACTGAGACTCACAGGGAAGCATGTTACCCAGGTCATGAAGCTAAAAATTTTCAGAGGTCTTTCAGAACTTAAAGGCCATTAACAGAAGGAGGAAGATGGTTACCATCAGCACACATATGGGGGTTCCTATGTACCAGGCATCATTCAGAGTACTTGTATTAATTTATTAAAACCCATCCAGAGGTTTACAGAATGTTGTTGTTGTTATTTTTAACTACAAACCCTTGGGGGGTTGTGGGGAGGTTTTTTTTTGTGAAATAAAATCTTCCTTAGAGGTACCAGTGTAAAGCATCAGAGGGGAACTGGCTGAAGGAGAACATGCCTCCAGTCGAGTCCCTATCCATGACTCACAATGCATCTAAGGAATTCAGTTTGGAAACCCCTGGTTTAATCTAAGCCCCTTTTTATACAACTACAGAGAAGAGGTACAGATTGTGGGAAGAGTTTGATAACAGTTAAAAATAATGTAACCTTTAGGTAGTCACTTCCCTCTGAAATGGAGAGAAAGCCACATTTAGGGACAGAAACACAGACAGATCTCCTCACAGTGACAGAAACAAGGTAGAGTCTTGGAGGACCCCAGCACAGAGTTCCAAGGAGGAGGAGAGGAGTGGAGAGGAACTAAGACCTGGAGAGAGAATAGAGATCTAAAGCAAAAGCAGGGTGGCTCCTGTAGCTCAGTCAGTAGGGCGCCAGCCATATACACTGAGGCAGGTGGGTTTGAGCCCAGCTGGGGCCTGTTAAACAGCAATGACAACTGCAACCAAATAATAGGTAGGTGAGGGTGGCGCCTGTGGCTCAAAGAAGTAAGGTGCTGGCCCCATATGCCGAGGTGGCAGGTTCAAACTCAGCCCTGGCCAAAAACTGCAAAATATATATATATATATATATATATGCGTTATGGCGGGTGCCTGTAGTCCCAGCTACTTGGGAGGCTAAGGCAGGAGAATCACTTACTTAAGCCCAAGAGTTTGAGGTTGCTGTGAGCTGTAACACCACAGTATTTTACCCAAGGCGACAGCTTGAGACTGTCTCAAAATAAATAAATAAATAAATAAACAAATAAATAAAGCAAAAGCAGGAAACCCAAGGGCAAGTGAGAAAAGGGCAGAGGTCTGGCGTGGGGATGGAGTCCCCCAGAAAGAGGTGAAGAGAACCAGAGAGAGCAAGAATGGGACCCAAAAGGAGGATGTCAGAGACTCAGAGAGGGGGACAGAATCCCAGACAGAGAGCCAGAGACCCGAGTGGGGGGTCAGAGACCCAGAGAGAGGGACAGACTGTTTCCCTCTCTTTTAGGAAAATCACCCCTACTACTCCACCAGGGACTGGGAGTTACACAGAGTCTTCCTTGTAGGGGATGGGACCTGCTGGGTGTTTAGGGATGGGGGCAGGGAAGTGTGATGAAGTCAGAGAGGTGACCTGAATGGACACCCAAAGTCTGAAAAGTGGCCCTTCCCCACCCCCAGTAAACAACTGGAACCACCTTCTGTGTTGCCTTGGCTGGGATGGGAGGAAAGGGGAACACCCTAATCTGGGGACACCCTTCCTGCCACCTTGCCATCCTATATTTAGGCTAAGGGAGGGATTTGGGATAACCCCCCCCCCCAAAGCAGTGTCAATTTTCTTTCTGAAAATAGCTCAGGGGGAGGGAAGCTGAGTCTCAGAGATGTGATAGGGTGAGGGCCCCTGTTGCCCATGTGACTGTCCCTAGACCCTCCAGCTCCCATCTCATGTCTGTCTTTCTTAGGGTCTCTCTCTGGGCCTGTGTCATCCTCCTGGGGTCTCTCCCCTTTTCTTGGGGTGTCTACCCTCCGTCTTGGTCTCTGTCTTTTTCCTCTGGGTTTCTGCCCCCTTCTCTCCTAGGTTTTTGTCCCCTCTTTCTCTGAGTCTCTCCCCTTTTCTGCATTTCTGCACCTTCTGCTGTCTCCCTTATCGGTCATTATTCACTGTTTCTCTAAACAAGTCATTCTGTTCTTAAAACATTTATTTGTCTGTGTCTGAGTCCTATAGTACCTCTAATGTCTCTTATCTGAGCTCAGGACAAGACCCTTTCCCTAGTCCCCACTCAGGAAATTCCAGGGGAGAGCATAATGTGGGAGAGCCCCACACATCCACTGTCTCCCCTAGGCCTCGGGCCTTATCGCTGCTGCCCAAGCCCAGCTGGTTAATGTCTGGCGTGGAGCTCCTGGGAAGTGGGGATGAGAGCAGAGGGTGGGAATCAGCCCCAGGATTGACACGGAATTGGCAAATACCGCAAAAGAATCTCAAATTCAGACTCCTGAGACTGAGAAAGGAGGAGTCTGGGGGCTGCGCTCTCAGACTAAAAGACTGGAAAGGAAGAAATGCCTGGGGGGCCGGACCCCTGGGTCCAAGGGAGTAGAGACCTGGGGGACCCGGACCCCTGGGTTTGAGAGAGGAGGGGACTGGAGACCTGGACCCCTAGGTCTGAGGAGGGGCTGGAAGCCGGGACTCCTGGGTTTGCGGGGGGGAGGGTCTGTGGGCCGGAACCCCGGGTCTGAAGAGGAGGCTCTGGGGCATGGACTCCTGACTCTGAGGCGGGCCGGGCTGAAGAGGCCCGGCGGGCCTACGGAGGTCTCCGCACGCTTGTGCAAGGCGGGATCCCCCGGCCCCTCCTCCGCCGTCGGGCGCTGCCCCGCCCCCGACCCGGGCCCTCCTGAGCGCAAACAGCGAGGAGCCAGCGGGCCAGCGGCGTCCCTGCAGCCAGCCAGCGGGAGGAGAAGCTACTGCCGCGTTAAGGGCAGCCGGGGAAACCCAGGAGGGCGCCCCAGGTAAGAGCTTCCGCCCCGCACTTCCTTCCCTGGGATTCTGGCGTCCCAGTCGCCCTGCCCCCGGGTAGGGAGGGAGGGGGCGGGGCCGACAGGGGCGGGGCTTGGCGGAGGAAACTGAGGCAGGAGGGAAATGTCCCCGATAAGCAACCGATTCCCCCCAGAGGGGTCTCAGGAGTCTGGACCCTCAGCCCAAATCTTCTGGAGGAACGAAGGCCTGGGAGTCCGCATTTCTGAATACCAGGGAGGAGACACTGGGAGCTGGGACTCCTGGGTCTAAGGCAGGAAGGCGCTGGGGACCAGGACTCCTGGGTCTGAGGAAAAGGCAATGTGGACCCTCATTCCTGGTCTTGGTCTGGTCAACCTGCGCTCCTCTTCACTCCCACTCTTCTCATTCCCCATCTCTGAGCCAGGGCAGGCAGCCGCTCCAGGTATGTGCAGTCGAAGTCTTGGGCGGGCCCTGGCCTGTCCTGCGAGGAGGGAACATTCCAGCAAACAGCTTTGGGGACCTAAGGCTCCTTGAGTGTGAGCCCTCAGGGACCTGGGTGTCCAGGCCAGTTCTGTCCCCGCCCCGTCTGGGAGATGAATGGGCCGAAGGGGATGTAATTTTTCCCAGCTTCCTTTATCCACGCTTCTTCCCTCCCGTCTCCGCCCCCCATCTGCTTCCCATCCCAGCAGGGAGCTATCACCTGGGCAGAAAGGGGGCCTCTGGGAAGAGGCGGGGCCTTGACTCTTGGTACCCTACGCTTTCAGAGGAAAGGGGGGTCTGGGATTCAGGCCCCCTCCCCCACTGCCTATATAACCTTTTTCTCTTCTTCCTCTAGGTGGTTGCCCCCTCCCTCTAGAGATGTCAGGAAGGAGGGAGCCACCTGTGTCCTCCACAAGGGCCCCCCAGAACCTGGGGGCCCCCAGCCCGGGAGCTGGGAGGTGGAGGAGGTGCTGACAGGTCAGATAACCACTAGTTGCTTCCCAGTCTTCTCCATGCTTCTCTTTTCCAGAACCACACCTTCCTAAATGTTGTAGACAAACTATAGTATCAACACCCGGGCCGCCCTCTCCCAGGCCCAGGTTAATTTCTCACACAGGGAAAATGAAGCCTGGGCTGAGAGGGGAAGTGTCTTGCCTTGCTAGTGGCAGTTGTAAGCTGAATTTACATTTCCCTAGAATTCCAAATCATGGCCTTTCTCAAAAATTTGAAAGGTTGGTGGGTATAGTGGCACACACCTGTGGTCCCAGCTACTTAGGAGGCTAAGGCAGGATTGCCTGAGCCTAGGAGTGCAAGGCCAGCCTGGGCTATATAAAGACCCCATCTCTTTTTTTTTTTTTTTTGAGACAGAGCCTCAAGCTGTTCCCTTGGGTAGAGTGCCGTGGCGTCACAGCTCACAGCAACCTCCAACTCCGGGCTCAAGCGAGTCTCCTGCCTCTGCCTCCCAAGTAGCTGGGACCACAGGCGCCTGCCACAACGCCTGGCTATTTTTTGGTTGCAGCCATCATTGTTGTTTGGTGGGCCTGGGCTGGATTCAAACCCACCACCTTAAGTGTATGTGGCTGGCACCTTAGCCACTTGAGCCACAGGCGCTAAGCCAAGACCCCATCTCTTAAAAAAATTTTTTGGAATGTCCTAATTGGGTTGCTCTGGTTATAGAGGCAGGATGGCAGAGTGGAATCACCTAGATAGGTTCTCTGCATTTGCTGGCTATGTAAGCTGGTCCAGGTCATTGACATCTCTGAGGAACAAGGGCTTTTCCCCAGCACAGTTCTGGCACCAGGCTTCTCCTGGGGTTCCCAACTTCTGTCTCCCCCTAAATTTTTACCCTCTTCTCTAACCCAGACCTCTTTCTCTGTCTCCAGGTTCTTCGAGAGATGCTCTTCCTCCCCTTATGCTCCCTCCCCATCCTCCTCCTTTTCCTCCTCCCCAGTGTTCCAATGGAGCCCCAACCCCCACCTTCACCACTGCCCCCTTTTCTAGCACCTGAGTGGGACCTCCTGTCCCCCCGAGTAGCCCTGTCCAGGGGTGCCCCTGCTGGGCCCCCTCTGCTCTTCCTGCTGGAGGCTGGGGCCTTTGGGGAGCCAGCGGGCGTCCCAGCCAACCGTAGTCGACGTGGGGTAAGCGAGACAGCACCTGCAAGTCGCCGGGGTGAATTGGCCGTGTGTGATGCAGTCAGTGGCTGGGTGACAGATCGGCGGACAGCTGTGGACTTGCGTGGGCGTGAGGTGGAGGTGCTGGGCGAGGTGCCTGCAGCTGGTGGCAGTCCCCTCCGCCAGTACTTCTTTGAGACCCGCTGCAAGGCTGATGGCACTGGGGAAGATGGCCCTGGTGGGGGCAGCGGGGGTTGCCGAGGTGTGGATCGAAGACACTGGGTATCTGAGTGCAAAGCCAAGCAGTCCTATGTACGGGCATTAACCACTGATGCCCAGGGCCGTGTGGGCTGGCGATGGATTCGAATTGACACTGCCTGCGTCTGCACACTCCTCAGCCGGACTGGCAGGGCTTGAGGCACATGTCCAGGAACTGGTCAGGCAGAGAAAGAACAGAGCTGGATGCTGAGGGACCTCATGGGTGGCCTGGCTGCTTGAAGGGCCTCAATTTGGGAACTCATCAAATGATCACAAAATCACAGCTTTCTGATTTTGAGAGCTCAATCTGTGCAAGATGGGTAATGAAACTAATTGGGGTTTTGAAGGATGAATAGTTTTCCTTGAGAAACTTGAGGGTAATAATTATGATGATAACAATAATGGCTAATATTTACTGAGTGTTTACTGTTCATCAGCCCCAAAACATAACTCCTCAGATCAACTCTCATGGATTTGACCATCCTGGGCCCTTGACTCAAAGTTGCTGACCACTCAATCTCAGAAGATACCACTTGGCCTAACTCTGTAGAGAGGGTCAAGGAGAAGACATGTCAAGAAGTGGTGGGAAGGATAGAAAGAAATATGTCAGTTCCCAGCCAGAGGACCTGGAGAACATGGTCTACAGAAGTCCTTTCTTTCAGTATCTGAGAGTTGGAGGGGTCAAAAGAGAAATTTTACTTGGTGAGAGGGGACAAGTGTTGGCTTAGGATATTGTTTTGTTTTTTTTTTTTGAGACAGGAGCCTCAAGCTGTCCCCCTGGGTAGAGTGCCGTGGCATCTCAGCTCACAGCAACCTCCAACTCCTGGGCTCAAGCGAGTCTCCTGCCT